TCCACCCTTTTCGTACTTTGTTTCCGACTCTTGCTATTTCCCGCTTCTCTTTCATCCTCTATTATATCAATCCGCCGCCGTTTATTTTTCCACTAGTGTATAGTGATTTTTTTCACGTTTTGCATGTTTAGTATCAAACATATTTTGAAAATTAAAAGCTGGCCGAGTAAAAATAATACCGATAGGAGTCTACGGTTAAATGTAAAAATAAAATTTGCTCTCGGAGTTTAGCTTGACTGCGACATTATACGGGGCGCGGTATACCTCATGTCGATATATTTATCAAGAGCGAACAATAGTTTTCGCGAATTTGCATTTCCGAGAAAAACAGGTAACCCGTCGCGCAGCTAATACGCCCAATGCATATGAAGTATGCACTTGACAGTTCCGCCTTTCTTTCTCATTAAACAGGCGGGAGCAGTAGGTAGGCGGGGGAGAGCGGGGGGGAAGCCGAAGGTGAGACCGCGTGATTTTCGTTCATCGAACAACGCGTTATCTGCATAATACGTGGTTTGTCCACGGGTTCTCATGGGGCGGCGCAGGTGTAACGAAGATCGCTACGTGCGAAAGAACGTGATATTCGTAGCACGCCTTGTCCTCCATTATCGTTGCCCGAACACGTTTTTCATGAGGCGATCGCGGCATCTCTCGCCTTTCACACCTTTCTGGCATACCCCTCGCCGCAGGTTACTCAAACAAACGCAAAAAAGAAAGGACGTTGAAATATTTCAGATGAATCGCGCGATAACAAACCGTGCATACGAAAACCAATAAAAACGACGCCGTGGAATTTCATCTTGATATCGCTTCGTGAATTACATCGCACGGTCGACCGTGGTTTTAACGTTACGTTTAATTATGCAATAGTTGGTAAAGTTGTAACGGCAGTTTTCTGAGAGTTACGGCAATATAAATGATAAAGCAGCAATGAATCTTGATGTACGAGGTTTTTTTTTCAGGCAAAAACAGAAATTCTCATACGAACATATGGCGGATAGTCGAAAGTGATATCTCAGGGAAACGTAAGTGTGAAACGTGGCGTAGGTTGATGTTAAACTTGATTTCGGCTTCACGAAAGTTTGCTCCGAGAGTTCGCTACTTCTCCAGAAGTAATTCATAACTTTTACCACGGCCCAGTTCAATAACGTCTGTTCCGCTAGCGCCGCGGTTCATACTGATAATTCATTTTAAAATAGTTCATAACTAAAAACCAAAGGGATACAGCGTCCGAGAACATTCGACGCTAAATCAGGAAACTTCCGGACGCAAAAGACGGGAATCTCGTAAAATTACATTAGGGCAGTCATTTTCCTCCTCTGATTGCGGCCGGGGGGTTCTGGAAATTGCACGGAGTAATGGATATTCAGGAACGTTCTCGCGCCTCGACATACCTGGTCCCCGGAAAGTTAAGAAAAACTTGGTCTGCCCATAATTCCGGAAATCCACCGCCGATTCACCGTTTCTCTCGTCTATTTTTTCCCCATCGATCGTTCCGGAATGAAGGGAGAAAAATCGCGACCCGACGCAAGATACACGCGGGGTAGAGGTTTAAAAAGACGAGACAGAATTTTCCGTCTCTTTCGACGAAAGACGGCGGTTCGATAGATCGTAATAACTATTCTTTACCCGCTACGTTTCACACCGTGGAACGCCGTCCACTTCACGTAAACACCGGCATAAATTCCGGAACGGCTCTTTCCCGTTCCCTACGCCATTCGCGTTACATCCCGGCCATCTCGCACCACCGTTAACTGTTACGGGACCATCGAGTGTTTCTCACCCTCTACTTAGCCAACCCGCTCGTTTCTTTCGGGCGAAACAAACGAACGGGCGGTTTTCCATTTCCCCGATCGATTTTGCCGATAATGGCGACAATAGTGGAAATAGTGAGAGCCATTAGTCCGGTGATTAATGACGCGCTTATGATCGAACAGGAGCGCCGCGTTTTCGCGTCCCAATGCTCCTCGTCTCTACACTCTACCAGAAAGATTTTAGGAATCTGGGTTCTTTCACAACACTGGGAAGAGAGAGCATTATTGTGACTCTGCGAAAATCGCAGTAATAAGAGACGCGGGACCATTATTCACACAGATGTCTTAGCGGGCAAGTGATTTGCGAGCACAATAGACAGTGGGAAGCGCGCGATGCCACGAATGTCGAGATTATTTGTTAAATGGTATGGTAAGAAGAGAAGAGCGCGCGCAGAGCTATATCGCGCTCGTGTCGGAGTGCGTGTAGTTTACCGTATTTTTGAGTGAATATTTTACCACGCGTATATTTTTTAACATATTCTTTAGCCGGTTTAACGAGCCGGTTTAACGAGCGTAACGATCGAGGAAAATGCCAAGTTTTGTTGGCACGTGTTTGTTTTTGGCGCGAATAATTGGAAAATGTACACTGAAGAGGACGAGGCACTTTCTTTGATATGCGCCGTTGTGAATCGATCGCTACCACAGTCGTCATTAAAACTCGATCGTGTATAAAGACGGGAATTAAAATAGTTATCAAAGCAACGGGAGCGCGTGCAATTAAGATATCCGAATTGAAGCTCGCTCTGAGACCCGCGCGGGGTATAATCGATTGGCTTTGTGGCACCTGTCGAACGACGGGTAAAACCCGATTTTCAGATTCCATTGAGAGACGCGAGAGCATTGGTGGTCAGGAAGACGAGGAGGCAATGTGACTGACAGGCTTCATGGTTTATTCGACAAGTCGAAGAGTACACAGGGAAGCCTATAACATCGTATCCAGCTTGCGCTTTGAATTAACAGCCTGGGTGTCCGACGATGTACCATGATGCATGACGCGGTGTCGAGTTCCAATTCGCTGGGCATCCATGAAAGCAAGCTCTGTGCCCAATGTAAAATATCGGCGATTCGGGATGAAACGAAGCACGCAGCTTGTGCCGAGCTTGTGTGCATGTGGTAGATGAGGACCGCCGATTGCGCCTCTTTGAACGATTACTTTTAACTCGGTGTGCAAGCGGACGGTTTTACGGCTAAGTAACACGTGTGCGTATTGTTAATAAAAATATTAACGTTATATATCAACGATGCTCTTTCGACGCGGAATAAGCGAAACGTGTTTGGCTGCTATTTCGAAAAGTCAATGGATATACAACTGTAGGAAAAACCCTATCTATGAGGAAGAAAACTTTTCTGTCTAAAATTATTTTTAACTGAAAGGTGAATGTGCATTTTGCTCTGTATATCGAGAGTTATTTTCAGTGGAATATTAATTCACTGCTCTCGGATCAATGACCCGAGAATCGATTGCGTGTCACCACACTTTGTGAAATCGATCGGACTATAGCTATGGTCCTCTAAATAATGTTTGCGCTTTCGTGATTGTCCAAATACGCTGAGGTAGAAATGTAAAGTCGGTTTATATTTTATTGCTCACGGAAACGAAACATTTATTTGCACAAATATTTTAGATCAACGTTGCATCAATTAGAATGCGATAACTTTATCAAGATTGTGAAACGTTAGGCAAATAGCGACATCCATCAATTATATGGTTGGCTTCGGATATCGATGTAATTAGAACGCAAATGTTATTAAATATTGTTTATTATTGGATATCGATTTTCTGTGTTCTCGCATGGGATCGCGTAATAAAATCTAATGTATATATATATATATATAATCACGAATTAATGTACAATATTTATTAAAATATGAAAATAACTATTAACATAACAATGCACCTAAATATCATTTAATGCGGTCATTAACATTTTGATTCATCAATTAATAATTAATAAAATAATGAATTAGTGGAAGTTTGGTGAGAAGCGCCTCACTATTGTGTCATCTATTTCAATATTATTCTTATACATATAATTACAAAGTGAATACGACGGGATATTGTGAGTGCAAAGAAATTTGGATTTTAAAGAGAAAATATTAGCTTCTTTCTAGTTGCGAAAATGTAAATCGTTTCGTATATAATATCACGTAAATTTTAGTCAAATATCTTAATACACATTATTAAAGTTTGAGATAAACGAAGAATCAACTTCGTGAACTTTTAAATCGACGTTGTAGATGAAAAAAATAACGATATAGGACACGTATGTATATAGGAACATTCTTGAACATTCAAAGCGGATTTAGGAAGGGTACCTTCGTAGATACTACTACTCGATGAGGATTAGGAAGTGATTTGCAGGCGATTGCCGATAGCGATGGAAACACGAAAGCCGGAATTTATCGTGATTGGAGCGAGTTCTCGTAGAGAGAGTCATGAAGCTTCGAGGGCCGTTATCTCGTGTGCATGTGCTAGATACGCACGAACTATCAGTTTTCATGAACACACTCTATGATGTAAGTACATGCTCTCATTTCTTGGAGGACATATTTATTGTTATTTGCAATATCCTCTTTCAACAAGTACACGCGAGTTCTATAGATCTCCGCAAAGTCTATAGATCCGGCGGGGAAAAGTCTGAAGTCTTAAAAATATACGAATAGCGAGACGTAATCAGTTTCAATGAGGTCCATTCGTGATACATTTAATTAAGAAGCATCGTATTTCGTTTTCTCGGTAAAATCTACGTTCTGAAAGCCAGTTCGATTCCTTCGCAAGAATTTCTTTTCCTGTCGTGAAGCGTTCATTAATTTCATAAAAACGTAGGTAATGACCCTGACATTCCGTTCCACCACCGACTTTCGAGCGTCGCGTTCTCTCACGTATACCGCCGAAAATCTTACGTTCACGCACATCCGCGCCTGGACCGCGCGGCGATTATGGCGACTCATTAGCTGCGCCTGTAAATCATCGCGGTCTCCGCGACGGAGACAGGAGATGCGCGCCGAATGTGGGAGTTCGGAGCAAAACGCGTGAGCGAGCGAGAGGCGGAGGATAAAGCCGGGGTCCAGAGCGGGACGAACGGCGCGAGCGTGCCCGAAGACGACCGAGCACGAGCGGAGAAAGCCGACGCGGGTTGCGAGGGTTCCTCGCGATATTCAATGGTTTCAGTACCGAGCCGCCACGGGTCAGGACTCGATGTGGCTTCATCGTAGGGGAGGTTCGTTAACGTGCGCCTGACGACGTGGTACGCGACGCAGACGAGTGATCCATGAATAAAAATCGGAGCAAAAGCGCGCGGTGTCATCGTCCACGGGTCACCAGGTCGACCGCCTTTGCGACCCGCTTCGCGAGTGTCGATCGATGATCCGGAAGTTACGATTCGCGGAATATACGGCGGCACGATCGCGTTTTTCCGGTGTTTAGGCGCGATATCGCTCAAGTTAACGCGAGTGGATTCTTCGTTTAATGTCTTCTTTCTTTTTACGTTAATTTTGAGAATTTATCTCAATTATACTCCGGGCGCATATACGATCGTCTCGCGAGTGCGCGCGTAACGCACATGCTCGCTCGCTGCACGCTCGGCCGCCGCAAGGTCGAGGGATAAGTGCGAAAAGATCGACGCCCTCGATCAGCCGCGCACTGTGCTCCAAGCAAATACTGCAATCCGGATACTTATGTAGCCGTGTTCGATTAACCAGAAACGTGCGTTACAATTAGGCCTATTTGCGGCACTTTAATCGACACGCAGCGTCGATGTATCGTGTATAATTTTGTCGGCAACTTTTATATACATGCTGTTCATTGATGCGTTGATTTTTGACTGTTGATCGACAAGACCATAATGCTGAAAGATAAGAGGGAAATATAGCGACAGAAAGTGCAATCGATGATGAAGAGCGATGATACTTGTTCCATGACGGACAAGTGTTCCGTTCCAAAACTTCCGACACTCACATAATTTCAATAGTTGGAGGGCAGCTTAATTTGATTTCATCACTCGTGCAAAGTTTAGAAGAAATTGGAATAATCCGATTTTAAGACGAATGATTTTTAAGAGTGTCTTAAAATTTGCCGCATTGAATCTTCTTATTTCCGATATCGCATGTACATATCCTTCGTCAGAAGAAATAAACTGTCTAAGGTGTTTTGAAAATTTGTCAAGTTCGTAGACGACTGTTGCCATTGGACATCTATCGTGTTGAAGTTTCAACTATCGGAATATCGGGACACGTCAGATCCACTTTGCAAGTTCAGTTTGCAAAAGGCCCGGCGGATATCTTGTTTCATTCCGTGAAGGTTTACCGCACGATCGAATGCATTAGCGGGACTTGCGACGGGCGTAGAGAGACAGAGGCGCTCCGAATCCGAAGTGAACCGCTTTCAAGAGGAGGCTGCTCTGCACTCTACGACGATAAAACTACAATCGCTATTCGGAATCTGTCAGCGGAGGCTTCGCTCCGTTACCGGATCCGTTTATCCGGCAAATCCTGTGATCATCCGCTCGCCCAATACGCCCCATGGAATCTCGCAGCAGCGAAAAATTTACCTGACAGAACGCATCGGTCATGGAATAGAAAAAAGGGGACCGATAACAAACGGCGTAAATGGCCCGGAGCGGATAAAGTTTCAACTACTCGCGATATCCGCGTTTGAAGAATCGCGTCTACGTCGATCGGAAAATCTGCCGAGGAGATCGATCGCGTGCTTAAATCGTCCAACCTGAAAAGAATCTTACGCGAAGAAATCTCGGGAAAAAACGAAAGATCGTCGAGTAAGATGGGAAAAACCGTATGGCGATAGCATACATCGTCATTAAAAGTCCGGTGTGTTTCGTTCTTGAGAGGCTCGAAAGACAAATAGCTGGCGTCTCATTAAATGAACGACGGGTAGGTGAGAGACAAGATAGATAGGGGACGGCTGCGTGGCATGTCGGTTGACGGCGACGGCTACGGCAGCAACAACGACGGCAAAGAACGGTGGATGATGTGGATGGCGGCGCAATGCAGCAGCGGCGGCAGAAGCAACAGCAACGACAACGACATCAACGACGAGAACGGCAGCAGCGTCGGGGGTTGCAATTAGTGCCGGCTCGCAACGGCCGCGAGACAACGTAACGACTGAAGGGGGGGCGTGCAGGGGGCCGTTAGGGGGTCGAGGGTGTGTGCAGTGCGCGTGAAAGGGGGACAAAATGTGGTGGAGGTGGCGGTGGTGGAGTGTCGTGACGACGACGACGACGACGATGCTGGTCTTGGTAGCCGCCACGGCGTACTCGCCGTCTGTGGAACTATCCGATCTAGATAAGCCAAGTGAGTAATGCGCCCCGTTACGTCACTAGTTATGCCTGATTTACAACTGGGCTTAACCCTTTCGGTACGACCGAGTCACGAGGTGCTCGCGACAAATACGCCGGTTAACCGGCGTGTCAATAACCGACGGTAGAATTTGGTAAAAACTGTTAGTTGACCCTGTACCTTGCCACTGCGCACGATATATTATTAATTACAAATCATATAAGTTTATTTTGACACACGAGCGTTTACTTTATTAAATCATATAAAATTCATATATTTATAGAGAGCTGAAAATTCCTTTGTCTAAAATATTATGTATAGTACTTCAAGTTTTCTGAACCGCGACGCCTAGATACTTCGTTACAATGAAAGTGTCAAGATATTCTGAAGCCGCGCCGCGTAGTGTTTCGCGGGTCGAAGATCGTGATGCGACGAATTAAATCAAATCTCTACGGTCTCTCGTCACGAGGCTGTTATAAACTTTAAACAGCGGATTATTATCGTCGACCTCATCCAAGGAAGTTTCGCTCGACCGTGTTCCGGCTTCATCCTCGAGAACGCGGACTCCACCGAAACCCGAGTATGGCGTAGTCGATAAAGGGGGATATAAATGGAAAGGTGCTTCTGAATATCATTAGCGGCAGTTCTCCAATGTCCCATAATTAAACGGGCACTTCGCACGTGTCGAAACTGTCCTTGTGGCGCGCTACCGTGTGTGTATCGTGCGGCGTGCCGCGGCGCCGACGAGTTATGTACGAGTTATGTACGAGTATTTAAAAATTAAAAATAACATACGGCATGTTATTTTATCATATCACAGTCGGACCTTCAATGTAAATCATAATTGTAGGGAATTTTAATCCGACTGGGTATGCGGCCGCGCGAGGTCGATGCATATCATTAGCGATAGGAATACTGTTCTGTGATTAAAATCTCTCGCGCTATTACGTAATCGTAATTGTGTTCATCAAACGACACTCGCGTACGCAATTTCAAAGATAACGGTAGAACAAGGAGAAATAGATTTTATAGAGAAAGAGCAATTTTAAACAATTATTCAAATTTCTAACAACCTTCAATATTACTTGAACTTTGAATAATTTTTTCTGTTTAGTTAATATCCAGTATCCAATATCTAGTTAATATTATCCCCGATTTGTGAATAATCTTTCTTTCTGTCTCTTCCCTTTTCTAATAAAAAAAAGTTTCTAAAGATACATCAAAATTACGTTAAAACCATCATTAATATAGACAGCAATATTTCGGTCTTCATAAATTACTCAAGCGATAAGCAACGCAATGAACTCATAAATGTCAAAGATCTCTCACGAAGCAGGAAACTAGTATTAAAGTTGCCTAGCTATCCTCGGACGATGAGCGATGCTATAATAACCTAATGCCTGACGTATCCGTACTAAAAATATGATCACATTTTTTTTTCTGCGTTATTGATTGCTTGGCATATTTAGAGTAACCAGAAGAGTAGATGGCAAACTTTCGCGGATCGATTATTAGAAAACTTTTGCCATCGTGTTCATTTCGCTATGCGCGCGTCTCTCACTATAATACTTGGTCCTTTGTATGTAATATGCGCTACCTGAAATTAATTTAACACCCTGCCGGATTAACGATAAAGAAAATTGTAGGACGAAGGTGTCCGATCGATTCAGGCGCGGCACGTAGGAGAAGGCTTAGGGAAGAGAATGACGGCTAAACTAGTTTAATTAAACCACGGCGCTAAGCCCCTCTTAAATTTATAGCTGCGCGATAAAAAAGGATGTTCTACAGTGGGGACGTGAAGAGAAAAAAATTGGAGTTTCAATAGCGGAGTCCGGCCTCGTTCGACTGCGAGGGCGAAAATAATGTGACGCCAATTTTGCACTTTTGCGAAATTCCTTTAAAAAAAATTTCCGACTTATCGCGACATTAATTTTTCTCTCTATTCTTATATTATAGATGTAATATAAATACTAATGAAATATTTTCCTTCTTGCATATTAATTTTGATATGCTACAGCACACACAATTACTGATTTTCATTAACTTGCACTTCGTAACAAAGAGGGCTTTGATATTTTCGCGAATTTTAACCCTGATCCAAATGTATTTTCAACGTCTATATATTTACTGAGAAAATAATGTAACAGTTTAATAGGAATATCTGGGAATATTCAGATTGTCACTGATGACATATTGAATGACCAGACGGACTAATATTAGCTGTAATTGACAATCGCTGAATATATTCTCTACAATTCTAGGAACTACTAATGCAATAATAAATGATATTTATAGTCGATGTACATTCACGTTTATGATTGAAAATGAGCCAATTATAATAACATTCCTACATTTATTATTTCAATCATAAATGGATAAGTATTATCGCAAAAAGATAAGCAAATAAAAAAGTCGTTCTTCAATATTGAATATTATATTTAGCGAGGAATAGGAAGACAGAAAGTAGGATAGAAAATCCGCCCTTGAGCACCGAAGGAACAAAAAAGTACCAAGTAATCTTCGGTTATTTTATAGGGAATTGCAATTGCGCATGCAATTCATGTATAGTGTAAGAGACGCAGAATCGATCGCACCGTGCTGGTGCCTCAAACATTTCGTCAAGCAAATTTCATGCTCGATCCACTATTCCCTTGGAAGAAATTCCAGAATACTTTTGAAGAAAATAAGGTAGATATATATATATACATATCGTTGTCGACAAGAAATTTCATTCGCGCGTAATATGAGCAGGTTCTTGCAACCATCTCGCCGATTCAAAGGCAGTTTAATTACTCGATCGAAATTACTCGGCTTCGTTATACAATTATTTTACAGCGTGGCGAAACGACAGCCTATGTTTTCATAAGGTTTGTCTGACTTCTACTTCAACAGGTGTTGCGAACGGCGAAAGACAACCGACGTGTACGCAGTACGCGCGTAACTAACGCGTCGCGTTAATTAACGACGCTTTCATGTTTATTCGCGCAGCATAAGGCAGCAGACGCATCTATTTTGCCGCGTTCCGGTATCGCGAAATAATAGCATTCGATTTCTCCCTAATGAGGCTAATCTCGTAGTCCAGTGCGTTAAAAAAGCGAAAGCGGCGAATAAATGCCGGTGATGAGAGATGCGTTTATTTTTATAGCGTTCTGTGGTTTTTAATGTCTAGTGCGGCGTGCACTTTCAGTAAATAACTGAAACCGCAAAACCGGAAAGAACAACTTTAATGCGCACATCATCGGGAAATGTACTTTGTACCATAAAGGATCTTTTTATGCTATGTTTTTATAAACACTCTGCGTCGTAAAATGTAAACCAGAACTCATCATGACGGGCTAACGTTTTAATAGAGACTGCATAACAGTTTTTACCAAGTTACAATATATGAAAAATATGTTACAGAATATATCCCCGCTTAAAAAAAAAACAACTTACTTTTTTTACATGAACAACATTTTTTGAAACTTCTAAATCCCAGTAGAGGCAGCTTGGTGGAATGCAAGTTTCAATAATCTTTTTCAACAATTTTTAAATTTTCAAAAAATATAATCCTTTTTATATAATATATATATATATTTTTTTTTCATTTTAAAAATATCCCAGAAGAGATACATACGTTCTTTTATTTTTATTTTAAGTATGCGGAATCTTAACCCTGAGTTTAGTTACGTAGCTGATACAGTTGATTATTAATAAGTTTTTGAAAGAGTTAGTATAGATTTATTAGTATATATAGACATTGTAGACTCTGGATACCTCTCACGTTTCTAACAGCGAGAGCACTTTCCAACAACAGCTTTCGAAATCACAGCTACGGCGTCGTGGTAATTAATTTTTTTGCCGGCAAAGCCGAAGCGAGGGCAACGACGGAATGACCACGAAATCGACCTAATGGGTGGCCATTTGTCATTCTCCATAGGGTAGAAGGTGGCACTGCGGAAGGGGCGAGGAGGGCCCCTTGCCGCCGGCCAAGACGATAATTTGCACGCGATTTCATCCGCCGTATACACCTTCCGCGTCGGTGTATGACTTAATGGAAACACGGGTTAGCTTGTTCTAGAATTCTGAAATAGCAGAAGCTCATAAAGGGCGAATGTCACTTTGCGTTTGCGCGAATGTCATTTTACTTGGCGGTCGATGTAATTACCAGGAGTAAAAACGATTATTAACGTAACGGCACGAACGATATTATGGTACTTTCGTTGCCGTTAAAAAATATGAGATCTCTTCACCGTCGTATATATCCCCGCGTAACAACCTTATCGAAATAATAGCCGGGGCAAGGTAAAGCTGCATTATCGCGAATCTAAAACAAGGCGGAGACGATCAAGCGACGTAACATGTATGTTTCATACCCGACACGCGAATATTCAAGATTATCTCGAGTCTAATCCTAGAAAGATTAATTGGAATTGGCAGTGCACTTGTTATTCTTAGGCGCGACCTCTGTATGCTAAATAACATTACGTGCGTGCAAAAACTTAAAGGGACTAAAATGATAATTATTATATGATTTGAGTGAATAACCCCATTCCGTCGACGAAAAATTTATTTAAAGGTGATTGACGAACAGCGGCGAGATGACGACACGTATTTTGCCTGTTGAATGACCTCTTTTCGCGAAAGCGATTAAGATACACATCTCATATGTACACGCTTGTATGATAAAAAAATATTAAGGCTTTCTTGAAGAGGGTAATTATATAAGAATGTGGATAAACGCGAGAAATTATTGCGGTACCATCTTTAATTAACAGAAACGCCGAATGATTATTTGCACGCGATCTCGGTTCACCGCATTCGTTGGATACAATCATGATTAAAGTTTAGCACGGCATACTTCTTTGTTGAGATCCTCTTATTTAATGCGTACTTATTCTACATTTATCGGTCATTAAAACATTTCTTACCTTCTGTTTAACTATGTGCTAAGAACGATAATGCCGGTAACAAATACTCCTCAAGGGAGAGAGGTAGACTTATTAGCTCGATAAAAATCTGTCTATATACAAACG